TTTACAGCTCTTTATATTACAATTAGCTTGGCAATCCTATTTCTCATTCCTGACAACTGGGAGAGGAGGGGTAACATTATTAATCCCATTTTCTAGATGGGGAAAAGGCAACATTTCCATCTATTCTGTCTCCAGTTTCTATGACTCTATGATTAAAGGCACCTGCAATCATGTTCATTAGTTCCCTATGAAAAATGATATTCAACACAGATGGCAAATGTAGGCAAGAATTAACAAGCACTTGAGAGCAAAGCCAAAATAACATCTAAACAATCACTTCTGAACATTAAAGTCATGGCAAACAAGTTCAAATTTATATAAAGGTGTTGCAGAGAATTAAGGAAAATGAACAAATATATCCTTCTTTATCCTCATTCATTTAGGAAATACCTAACATGGTTTAGAAATCCTTTTTGAAATGCAGCCTGAAGAATGACTAATTTCCTCCATGAAGGGTCTTCATTTAGCAAATAGGTCTAGGCTAATATGTCCTGATGTTTTATTTTGAATCAGAGCTAAAACAGAAGAGGTCCTGGATGGGGAGACCTGGCTCTATGGTTCTCAGGTGAGCTCCCTGAGAAGCCTGCACACTGTGGGCAAGGGGCTCACCATTCCAAATGTCCACCAAATACACACCCAACACTGGAGAGTGGTTTGCCTATAAACACAGTCTTTGTCATTTGTATGGAATTTACATGAATGAAATATAATTGCTCCAAACATACTACTGAATTCATACTCACTGCATATAGCCACTATTATATGAGGCGGGGGTCCCCTCAATTTTTTGCTGTTAAAAAGGAGTCTTGGGGTGCCTGGGTGGCTCAGTGGGTTAAGCCTCTGCCTTCGGCTCAGGTTATGATCCCGGGGTCCAGGGATTGAGCCCCGCATCGGGCTCTCTGCTCAGCAGGGAGCCTGCTTCCCTTCCTCTCTCTCTGCCTGCCTCTCTGCCTACTTGTGATCTCTCTCTGTCAAATAAATAAAAATATTTATTTAAAAAAAAATAAAAAGGAGTGTTCATTTTCAAAAAGCTTAGGAAACACTGATCTATTCCAGCCATTCATTTGATTGGTGAGGTTTAGATCTTGGGGACAGCTGGGACTCCAATCTGTCTCCTAATTCCCAAATGGCCTTTGTCCAACACCATACATCTCTTCCACTGTGAGCACCCCATCTATGGGAAGTCAATAGTCATGGCTATGTCCTCTATCTAAAAGAGGAGAGTATAGTCCTACCCTCCCTCCCTGGATATGAACTTTCCTTATCTCCTGAGCCTTGCCTTTGCCTTTCCTTTTACTTTTCCTTCCCCTCTACTCCCCTGTTTAAACCTTCAGGGTTAGCAGCACTCAAACCCTTTCAAGCTCTGATGTTCTTTGAGTGCCCCTGGACATTCAGTCTCCATATGAAGTGGAAATATAGTCTCCATGGTACTAAAACAAGGAATGTGAGAAGTATGTATACAGTAGGCATGTACATGAATTTATTTTACAGCTAAAACCCCAGTGCTTCTAATATCTACAGAAAATAAGAAAATTGAAATATTCATGAATAGTCATTTTATTTCATCTGAATCTGACAACACTAATAGGATGTTAATAAACCCCTAGCATACCAACTTTTCAAAATGCTTTCATTAAACATAAATTCCATAAAAACACTTAATGCAGTTTATTGTCCTGATGGCTCACCAGCATGTAAGTGCTAGAATTGAGGGACACGAGAACTAAGTGCCATGAAGAGAAGAAATGTTCCCTATTTTATTCACTACTGTTTTCCCAGTGCCCAGAACAGCATCTGGCACATGGTAAACATTCAATAAATATTTGTTGATTGAGTGAATGACAGAAGTAAACAGGGATGATGGTCTTAGCTATTTATTTAGCCTACATATAGTTCTATTTTTAAGAAGATGGGATGATTCTATAATGGAACAACTGTGTTTCTAATGATCTCTTCTCAGTCTTTAATTCTCCTTTAATTTCAGTCTTTAACGTGATGTAATAATCTTCCTTCAAATATTTTCATGTAATTGTTCAAAGTTATACAAGTAGTACATTCATTTTAGGAAAATCAGATACGACTAATATATAAAAAATAAAATTTCCAATGATCTCACTACCCAAGGACGACACAAGAGTTTGCTAGCGTACTCTTTCCAATTTTATTCTAAGCATATGTACCCACGCACATCTGACACAAAACTCTCTGCCTTAGACTTCAGGATTTGGACCGTTTTCTTTTTTCCTTAAGCCCTTTTGCTTATTGCCCTATTATAGCACCTTACCCTCCTCCTATGTCCTAAATATATTCCTTCCTCAATATTTAGGTCCTTGCTTCAAGAGGATTTCCCCCCCTTCTCCCTCCAGAGGATTCATCTATTCTTGTTTCAACTTTAAGTTCCATGTGGATGGGCTATCGCTATACCATTAGTCCTCCCTTTTCTCTGAGACACCAGTGCTCCACAAGTTCCACACCTCTAAAACCAAATGCATCGTGTTCCTTCCATCAAAACCACATCACTAGTTCACCTATCCCATTTCTATCAACTGCAAGAGTACTGTACAAGCCGTCCTCGATGGCATCATCTTTGGTTCCCCAACCCACATCCAACCACTCACAATGATTTTCATCCTTCTTCCTATTAACTCTGTCATTCATCTCTTGCCATTCCTACCAGTGCAGTTCAGGCCCTTATATCAACATGATTTTCTACCTGTGTCTCCTGCTTTCTGTACAACTAAACACCCACCCAGCTTACCCACTGCTACCAGCTAACTTCCTAAAACACCATATCCATCTTGCCCACCCTACTTTTCCATCCTGACGTCTCATTACTACTGAAAACAAACCCTTCCTCCAGACAGCCTGGTGTATTCATTATTCACTCAATTCCAAATCATTTCCAGTAAAGTATTTATTAAACATTCATTATGTGTAAAAATCCATTCATTCAGGGGCGCCTGGGTGGCTCAGTGGGTTAAAGCCTCTGCCTTTGGCTCAGGTCATGATCTCACGTTCCTGGGATCCAGCCCCGCTTTGGACTCTCTGCTCAGCCAGGAGCCTGCTTCCCTTCCTCTCTCTTTGCCTGCCTCTCTGCCTACTTGTGATCTCTGTCTGTTAAATAAATAAATAAATAAAATATTTTTAAAAATCCATTCATTCATTCAACATATATTTACTGAGCAATGGTTCTGTAAGTTAATATACTGGGGACACAATGGTGAACAAGACTGACCAAGTCTCTGTTCTCATGGGACATAGAGGCCAGTGGGTTATAGATGGGCAACTCCAAAACGTGGTGGTCCAATCCCAGAATACTCCCAACCTTCCACTGACATGTCAAATGAGTCAAAATATCCCCCAGGGCTGAGCTTTGTGGCTCCAAGTGGGGAAGGAGTTCTGAAGAAAGGAAAGGCCAAGTGAGGAGAGCTGGTGTGGAGCATGGCTTCTCTGCAGACGTGAGACACAGCTCAGCACTGAAGGACGGGCATCCCAGAGAAGGGGGTCCCTTCCATCCACGGGGACAGGAGGAAAGGCGCACACACGGAATGGACACAACAGCAGCCATAGCACGAACTTATTTTGTATAAAGGTCTGCTCGACACCTATTCAGCAGAGCACATGCTCCGTCCCTGCGGGCCTGGCCCAGCGGGATATGTGAAGGTGATTCAGACTGGGTTCCTACCATGGAGGGATTTCCAGCTAGCAAGGGGGATCAGGCAGGCCCATGATGATCTGTCACACCCCAGAAAGTGAGATGTTCCATTAGAGATTCAGAGACAACACTGAAGGAGTTCAGAAAGAGGTACATGTCTGGGTTCCTAGAACAGCATTTACTGAATCACATATTGTTATACATCTACATGCATCTACTGAAAATACCTATCCAGTTTTAAAGTGTCTTCTCACTCACTTTCTCATTTTATCCTAAGTGACTTGTGAAGCAGGCAAAGTAGATTGGATTGCTTTCCAGATGAGCAAAATACAGCACAGATGTTTTAAGTGATCTGCTCAAGTCAGGAACACACACAGGCAAAAGTAGAACAAGAACGCCCTGTCCATCTCGGCCCATTTCTTCAGAAGTATCTAGAGCAGAGGGCACAAGAAGCTCTGATTGCGCATGACACGTAGCAGGTGTAATGAAGCCAAGTGGCAGCTGGATTTAAAAGGGCAGGACTGAGGCAGCCTCTGAAGGTGCAAGAGAAGGGATATGACCCAATGAAGTCTCACATTCCCGCTTTTCCTTCTCAGGTCTTGCCTATATCATTGCCCACCACTAGGCCTGTCCAAGCCATAACCATTCAGGGTTCATCCCTAATTTTTTCGGGCCACGCTGGTTTTCCCTCCCACTGATCTCCCGGAGTGGGGATGGGGGTTGGGTAGCCGGTTCTCTCCTGCACACCATTGCGTGCCCAGCCAGCACACTGCTAGGCTCAGGGCAGGTGGCTAAATACGGGCGAATGAATGAATTCCTGGTACCTCCACGGACCACCAGTAAGGGTATGTTGGTCCCCCAAGAGTGGGCGGGCATGGGACACCCTCGCCACCCGGAGGCGCTGAGCGACCTCGACCAACGAGGGGGTTGCGGGAAAGGGGAGGCAGGATGGCCCGGGGCCGTGGGGACCACGACGCGCCACCAGAGGCTCCGGTCCCCCTGCTGGAGGCCGGGGCTACCGCTCCCACGCTTCCGCAGAAGGCATTTCCTGAGAGTATGAATTCTATCCCCATCAGGAAAATTGTCGGGGAAAGTGGTGGAAAATGACGCCGGCGGAGGAAAAACGTCGGGAGTAAAGGAGCCCAAGCCCCGGGCCCAAACCCTCACGGAGGGGACTGAGGAGGTTAGAGAAGCCATGCGCAGCTCCCGCCGCGGCAAGAACCAGGGCTGGAAGCCTCGCGAGATCTTGGGGAGGGGGCTCGGGAATCTCGTTGCGTTGCCTAGCGACGGGCAGGACGCTCGCAGGCCCCCACGCTAACCCCAGCTGTAGCCTTAAATCTCCTACCATGGGAGAAGGCGGCGGCCGTAGCTTTGGGACCACTAGGGAGCTGCAGAGGCTGAAGCAGCAGGCGATGGAGTACTATCGGGAGAACGACGTCCCGCGCAGGCTGGAAGAGCTGCTCAACTCCACCTTCTACCTCCAGCCTGCCGACGTCTACGGGCACCTGGTAGGGACCTGGGACAAACACCCTCTTCCCTCCAGCCCCTCTCCCCCCGCCCCACGCTGCGGCAACGCCACGCGCCTGCGCCGTTGAGCCGCGCACGCGCGCCGCCGCCGCGGGCTTGGGGTCCGCGGTCTTGTGGGGAGGCGACGCCTAGGGAAGAAGCGGTACGGAAACGTGGGCGGGAGAAATCTCGAGAGAGAGAGAGAGAAAGAGAGAGAGAGAAAGAAAGTGGTGGACAGGCAGCGGTTAGAGGAAAGCGGGGTCTAGGCGCATTCGGGGCCGAAGCGACAGCTTCCTCGCTGCCTCGGAGCGGGTCCGCCCGGGTGCAGTGCTTTTTAAACACAGACCTTAATACCGCGTAGCTCAGCTTACCAACCTCCAGCGGCCTTCGTTTGAACACGGATGAGTGCCTCAGCTTGGCCTCAGCCTGCCCTAGGGCCTCATGCCCAGCCCGTTCTCACTGCTCCCAAGTCTCCTTCCAACCAATGCTCTCCTTGCAGTGCGCACCTTTCTCACCCTGGATGCCCACCCCCACCCGACCAGCTGCCACCCAAACTCCAAATTCACATCAGTCTTGCCTGTTTCGCCTGAACTAACTGCCCTCACGTGTTCCTAAATCATTTCCTAAACGTAATGAGACCCTTCCTAGGCTTGCGAGCTTCGTGGAGAGCCCGGGACTTTTCCTACCACCTGCCTAGCCCCTGTGCTCAGCACAAGATCAGACACATAGCTTACCCTTAAGCAATGAGCAGTCGAAACAAACAAACGTGTTCTCATTTCCAGATCCGTTAAGTCCTAGCCAACAACACCTTCCTCCTGGAAGGCAGTGTGGTTGGGACAGCCGAGTATGTACATGCAGTAAAGACGCACAGTGTGTTTACAAGGTTCAAAACCACACCTGGTTGTGACAGTTGATGGGGGGGGGCATGAATGTTTATTTCTCTTGGTCGTGGCCTAGAAGTGAAGTTGTATGTTGGGGTGGGGTGGGGAGGGACGTGCTGAGCTCCCAGTGCTCAGTGATTTATGTTACTTCACTTAAATCTTTAGGACCACTGGGAGGTAAAAATTAATTTCAGTTTTACAAATACGGAAACTGGCGCGGTGAATTTAGGTGATTTTCCCAAGGGACACAGTGAATAACGGTGACAAATTGAACCAGGTCTGTGTTCCCAGTACCAAGGGATTGCGTGGTACATAGTGGACACTCAAGCACTTATTTGTGGCACAAATGAATGAATGTGACTCTGGATTCCATTCTCTTTCCACTGTCTCTTACTTGAGGAATTCTTGAAAGTTAACTAGTCTAACTTCATTTCACAAAGACACCAAGACCTTGCTTCCCAGCTACCTTGTGCAAAAAGTTAAGACTAGACGCTTGGACTCGGGTTCCTCAATGTAATGTTCTTCCCAGTCTGCTAGGCAGCCAGGACTTTGGTTTGTACACTTCTCTGGGAGTTTATACCTTGGTTAGGGACAAAAACCACTGTTACGTAAAAGAACTGGAGTAATAGATAAGGTGATATATGATTGTGCTAGACTGAGGGACAGATCACTGTATGCCTGTCAAAGGAATTCAGGGATAGGGAAGAACCTGTAGGCTATAGCATCTGAGAAAGTTTTGGCTTGGACTTTGAATAATGTTGAGGAATTGGACTGGCAAAAAGACAATGTCACTGCCTGAGTTTTAGCCATCTGTATTTTCATTTAGTTTCTCCCTCTATCAAGTCCAACTAAATCATGTTACCAGAGCAGCCTTCCTAACCCTAAATCTGATCATCATTCTTTTGCTCAGAAACCTCCTGTGGCTCCTTACTATTCCCTAAAGCCTGAAGTTCCTCACTTCCTCCCCTTGCCTTATACTCCCTCTACCCAAAGTATCTGCCCTTGACTCCTCCCCTTTGTCTGCCCAGTGAAATACTACATATTCTCCAGTGTTCAGCTCAAGCGCCATTTCTTCACTGCTTCTGTACATATTTGAGGAACTGAGATAATGAGGAAGATCCTTGGGGGCAATAGTCATACAATCTAGTCCCTTATAGTTTGATAAAGAGTTTGAGGTCCGGAGTCAGGCAGATCTGATTTGATTCTTAGCCCTTCCATTTAGTAGCTGTAGTGGACTATGATATTGATGCTCCCCAATGAACCATACCACCATTGTGACTGCTCTTATGTAAATCTCTCCTACACCTTGGGACTTGGCCATATGACTTGCTTTGATCACAAGCCCCACGCCAAGCACAATGCAGACGAAAGCATGGTAAAGTGCTGCTATATTGAGGTTCGTAGTATTGGAGTACTCCCTCCTGGAAACCAGTCATCATGTTGCCGGGAAGTCAATTACCCAACTGGAGAGAGAGAGAGATCAAGGTAGAGAGGCTCTGGCAGATGCAACAGCTCCAGGAAATCCTGTGAGAAAGACATGCCCAGCCAGCCTCTAGGATGTTCTAACCATCCTGGCTGAGACGCCAAGACACATGAGTTAAGTCATTCTGGATACTCTGGACCCAGTCAAGTCTCTAGGTCATGGAGCCTGAATGGGAGACGCCAGGCAAGATCAGCCAAAAGAATTACCGCGTTGAGCCCAGACCAGATTATAGAATCATGAGTGAATAAATGGCTTCAGCCACTAAGTTCTGGAGTCGTCTGTTACTAAGCAGTGAGTAATTAAGATGTTGGTTACTTTACCTTATACAATTTTTCTGGAACTCAGTTTGCTCTTCTGTGGAATGGAAATGATATGATTTACCTTACAGGGTTGTTTTGAGAATTTTACGACATAATGTATACAAAGTTCCCAGGGATGTGTCTGACACATCAGTTTATACAAGATTTAATTTATGGAATCCTAAATATGCCAGGCACTGCAGTGTGTGATACAGTGATAAACAAGACACTCCTTCAAGGCATATACTAAATACTTAAAAAATGTTAGTTCCTTTCTCTTCCTAACATAATATTGTACATTGTGGAGACTTGTTGCTAGTTATTTCAAATTCACTATAATACACAACACATAAGCTAGATGATATTTTTTCCTCTCCTGATTCTATCTAAATTCATTGAGACACTTATTCTGTAACATATGAACCATCATCCTTAAAATACATGGATGGCTTGGGGTGCCTGGGTGGCTCAGTGGTTGAGACTCCGACTCTTGATTTCAGCTAGGGTCGTGATTTCAAAGTGCTGGGATAGAGTCCAGTCTGCGGGCTCTGCACTCAGCGGGGAGTCTGCTTCCCCTCTCCCTCTGCCCCTCCCCCTGCCCACACACACACTCTCTAAAATAAATAAACCAGGGGCGCCTGGGTGGCTCAGTGGGTTAAAGCCTCTTCCTTCGGCTCAGGTCATGATCCCAGGGTCCTGGGAACGAGCCCCACATCGAGCTCTCTGCTCGGCAGGGAGCCTGTTTCCTCCTCTCTCTCTGCCTGCTTCTCTGCCTATTTGTGATCTCTGTCTGTCAAATAAATAAATAAAATCTTTTAAAAAAATAAAAAATAAAGTAAATAAACCATATATACATATGTAATATGTATAATACATATATATATACGCAAATATATATAATACATATTATACACACACACATATACACACACACGTATATATACATAAATGGATGGCTTGAAAATTAACTTTTGCTTTTTTGTGCTGGGGCACCACCTGAGGGTAGGAGATGACCTGCTATGTAGGCTGAGGTCATTGGATTTGGAATGCAAAGATCAGAGGCCTGTTCGGCAGTGAATGCAGATAAAGAGCCCAGTACAATCCGTTGATGAGGTCCAGGAGGGTGTCCCCTCACCTTCCCTTCCTCCTTCTCTCCCCCTTCCTGCTCCTCCATGTGGAAGCGCCATCTTGAATCTTTTTACCCGGGCTTTTTGAGTGGGCTTTCTGCTTCAGCTTCGTGCTCTTCTCCCTCTCTCTTAGAGCACTTCCAAATGGCTTCTGCTTTCCCACATCAATGAAATGGCTTTCACCAAGGTTCCGACAACCTGCTTTGAACACATTCTGTGTGTGAACCGCTGGTGAGTGAAGTAGAGCCTCTGCAGAAGCCTTCACCATTAAAATAGCAGATGCCTCATGGGGAGGAATAAAAACTGGCCCCCAGAAGTTTCCAGAGTTTGCCTCACAGCATTCTAGAGACCAGCGGACTTCTGGATCTTGGACAGCAGGATGGGTTAGGACCTGCTAAAAAGTGACATGAGATCTCTAAGAAATGTATGGGAAAACATTCTCAGGTGTGTCATGTTTGATGGACACTTTGCTTCCAAATAGGTGTCTCTTTGGAAAGCTAAGTCCTAATTTTCAAACAACTAATCTCCTCCATTGGGTAGCTTGAATCATCTAATTAAATCAGAGGTCCTTGTTTCAAAGTAAATTAATATGGCTGAGACTCTAATATTGAGTTATTTTTGTTTGTTTGTTTCTCCTCCCTTAAATTCACTTGTACTACAAATTTCACTCTGAGGCACTGTCTCCAGAACAAATTGGAAGGCAACGTGGCAGATGGAAGATTATCTGCTTCAGGAACAGCCCAAGTTAGTGTGGGCCTCATACTCCTAATTTGTAAAAACAGGGGGCATAACCACATCCCTCATTTTTCTAACTAAAATGCTATGAATTTGGAGGTAGACTTCATGTCCTTCTCCCTTTCGCCCATTGATTGAGAGCAGTTGACATGGATTCTGGACTCAGACTGCCTAAAGGCAAACCCCAGCTCAGCCAGCTCTTGTGCAATCTTAGGCAAAATATTTCATCTCTCTATACTCGCTTTCCTCATATGTACGGTGGAGATTTTAAAAATACTGATCCCTATGGGGTTGTTATATGACATAAATAATGTGGGTAATGCCCTTAAAACAGTGGCCAATACCATGATATAGTCTTTAAAAATAAAACATATAGCTGTATGTTTTAAGTGTTTTATAGCTCTATATTTTCTTAGAACTATTCTGTAAAATGGAGACATTTATTTGATTTCTAAAATTGTGGGATTATGTCATTTAAAACTGATTTTTAAATCAGTCCTTTTATAAGAATAAAAGACTTGCTTTCCTTTTTAAAAACTTCATTCAAATGTTTCATTTTGCTTGTAAATAAATTCACATTTTACAGTAATTAAAAGAAATAAATGTATGTGAGTTTCTGCTGAGAGTTCAAAAGAGAACAAATCATTCCATATCCTGGAGACCCTGCATCAGGTGAATCCAAATCTTAGCACGTGAGGGCAGGGCAGTTCCCACAGAGTTGATAGTTCAAACCTCACCCCCACCCCCGCATGAGGAGGACACTGAGGGGAGAGGTTTAAAAGAAATTAGAGTAAATGTGAATGATCTTTTAAATATAAATTAGTCATGGTATTGTAATTTTTGTTTTTTTATGTGTGTGTTGAAGGCAAACTGCTTTTCTAAACTTGCAAAGCCTCCCACCATATGCAAAGTAGTGGGAAAGAATGTATTGGATGGACTGGGGCTTCCAACCCTACAAGTGGAAATATTCTGCACCATTCAAAATTTCCCCAAGGTAGGACGCAGCTTAAATGTGTTCTGTATTGTGTCTTGGTTCCTTCGCATTTATTGTCTAAATTGTAGAAAATTAATGTTTTGAAATTCCATGTTTGTGAAATACATACATACAACTTGTAGGTAGTCATGTACATAAAGCATGAACCATACAAGGAAGCATTATGGCTTTATTATGTTTAAGTGCAATATGGGTACAGACATGGCATGCTAGCCCATAGATGATCCAAGATGGAGAAATGGGGCAAAAATAGTTTTTAAAAAATCTGACATCATTAATGTGGTGAGTTCTGTAAATGTATAGGTATGTTTATAGATTCATATGTTTATATATAAATTTACATAGATTTATAGATATGTGGGCTGATCGACATAAAGAAAAATTTCATTTTCATAATTATAATAATTCACTTGAATTGCTACATATTTGTTAGACGTAAATTTGCTACTGTCTCTGGGAGGCAAATAATTATGATCAAGTCTGTATCCTTTTAGCTATTTATTGGAGAGGCAGTGATAAAAATGAAGTTCAATGTAAGATTTTTTTAAGTGTATTTTAACAAGGTAATAATTTTAAATGTTCCTTGAAGTTGGGTTCCATACAGTTTCAACAGTTATAAAAATATCTCAAGGAAAATTACATATTCTCATTTTCCCTTTGAAACTGGTGATAAAATATCATGCACATTAAAAGCCGGATACATTCAATTTCTTCCTTTCTGGAAGAGGGAGGGGAAGATGTAGAACACGTTGATGTCATTTCCAGAGCATATGTTCAGTGGTGATCTCAACGCATTTTGAAGTCCACGAGAATGTTCTGCCGGAGCTGGCGGACGCAGAGCAAGAGGCAAGGTCGGAGGCAGTCCGCACTGCGGTGCAGTGGGTCAACGAAACCATCACCGAGGAGCTTCGGGGCCTGACGCCCTCCGACCAGGCTGAGGTGGACCAGGTGCTCAGGTAGATCTTCCGCTTGCAAACGAAAGTGTCCAGTACAGAGTATCTCTCTCTTTTTTTTTTAATTTCACCCGCCAGTAAAACAGGTCTGTCGTATCTAGAAGTTATGGTCAGCAAGTTGAGTAAGAAGCCTATTTGAAAGCGGTGAAATGCTCTTTTCTAAAAACCTGGTTTTTTTTTCCTTTGTGAGGGGACATCAGGCCTCTCAGCCTCTTTTCCATGTGTATTCGGTCAAAGTTTCAGTAGAAAGTTTCTCAGCAAGAGCACTGGTAAGAATCCAGATGGTGTCCTTTCTGGCCCCCCACCTCCTGTGCCACCTTTGAGGGCTTCATATGCTTCCACCGAGTCCCAGTGGGTGATGCTTGCGGTCAGTCCTCAAACCACAAACAGGTCCTCCGTGCTCTGCCCACAGGTTGACTTTAACACGTGAAAACCAAGGCGGTGGTTGCTAGGGCCGTGTCAGTGCAGTTCAATGCCCAGCCAAGGAACGGTGAGCATTACTGTTCCTTTCGCGCAAGTCCAGTGCCACGAGCCTCTTGGCCAAACAGAGGTCAGCTGGATTCTGTCTCTCTCGAAGCTCCACCACTTGCTTAATTAAACAGAACATCCACAAAGCTGTAGAAGCTGAGGTCACAGAGGTTGCTGCCTTGGTTCTCCATGAGAATTTTCATGGATTCCTGTCTCACATTTAGGTCTTTCATCCATTTTGAGTTCATTTTGGTGTGTACCTTTTGGGACTTCACAAGGTTTTTTTGGTTTGTTTTTGTACTATACATTTCCGCTGTACTATACATTTCACTATCTCCTCTTGACTCATTTTTCTTTTCATGGTCGTTTATTCAAAGAGAAAAATCCAGTAGCCCCTAATCAAATAGCATATCCAAATTTGACTTTAAATATGTAAACAAATAGGCTCAAATAATTAAAAAAAAAACAAGCACCTAAAATCTTTAAGACTTTATTTCCAGGCCAAAATTAATTTTAGCTCTTGAACACAGGGTTTTTGTTTTTTGTTTTTTGTTTAAGATTTATTTATTTATTTAACAGACAGAGATCACAAGTAGGCAGAGAGGCAGGCGGGGGTGGTGGGGGGGAAGCAGGCTCCCTGCTGAGCAGAGAGCCTGATGTGGGGCTCGATCCCAGGACCCCGGGATCATGACCTGAGCCGAAGGCAGAGGCTTTAACCTACTGAGCCACCCAGGCGCCCCTTGAACACAGTGTTTTAACAGCATCATTATTTTGGGACCCTGGAAAGTGAAGCTGATTTGTTTTTAAGTAGCTAAAAAAAAGCAGGGTTAATTGTTGACACATGTTGAATGGAGGTCAGCAAACTGACCAAAATTATGAGCGATATTCACTGTAAAGCCATATTTTCCTGCCATGAAGGACATTCTTTGGAAATAAAGCACAAGAAGACAAAGAGAGGAGAGAACTGGAAAAGAGCCTGGAAGACGCAAGAGTGTCCATCCCTTCACCTGTACCACTACCGCCACCTCCTCCACCCCCAGCCAAAAAAAAGGGGACAAAAGCAAGGTCAGTGTCTCATCTTGCAGAACCTTCGATAACTAGAGTGTGAGGAAGAAAGGCTGAAGCTCAGGCTGCCTTTTCAGTTAGAGTCGTTTTGCTGCAGACCTAGGGTGGCCCCCCGCCCCAGGTACCATCCATGCTCAATGCCACTTCCTTGCTCGACGCTGCCATATTGGGCAGGCAAGGGTTTACCCCATCCCGCCCTCCCTTTTGTTTGAAAAGAAAAAATATTTCTTACCCAGAGGTGAGCACTTACCAAGCAGAGTACACTACTTAGTGGCAATGCTGGGGAGGACAGGGAAAAGGAAAGTGGCATGGGGGACCTTTAACTGCCCCCCATATATCCATTAGCTCATTAAAAGCCACTCGATGTTTTAAGGATTAGTGATATCTTTTGATATGAATAACCAATATTTTCTCAATCCTATTAATAACATATTAATAAAAGTTCTTGTGGGGCGCCTGGGTGGGTCAGTAGGTTAAGCATTTGCCTTCAGCTCAGGTCATGATCTCAGGGTCGTGGGATTGAACCCCGTCTCTTTGGCGGGGAGACAGCCTCTCCCTCTGCCCCTACCCCCAGCTCATGCTCATGCAATGTCTCACTCATTTCTTGCAAATAGATAAAATCTTTTTTTTTTTTTTTTAAGTTTTCATTGGGAGCCTTTGCTATTTTATTTTTTTAAAGATTTATTTATTTGACAGACAGAGATCACAATTAGGCAGAGAGGCAGGCAGACAGAGAGGAAGGGAAGCAGGCTCCCTGCTGAGCAGAGAGCCCGATGCGGGGCTGGATCCCAGGACCCTGAGATCATGACCTGAGCCGAAGGCAGAGGCTTTAAACCACTGAGGCACGCAGGTGCCCTGCCTTTGCTATTTTAAAGCAAATAGTCCAAGTTATCATGACCCTTTGTTCCATGCTTTCCAACATATGGTGAACTTCAGCCCCTCTAGTATTCCGGAGCTGCTGCTTGTGTTGTAAATAGAGTTTTACGTCCTTCCAACATGCTCCTTGAAGGCATGAATCATGTCTCTTTCAATTTAGCCCCACCAGGGCCTAGCATGATGCCAAAGCACAAAGTAAACACCCAATAAATGTGGGTTCCCTGGGATAAGAAAGCACCAGCACCAGGAAGGGACCAAAGAGACCATGGAGACATGGTTTCTTATCTCCTGGACTCAGATGCTGAGGCCCAGAGAGGGAAGAGAGTCTCCCAAGGCAAAAGAATCATGTAAGACCAATGTCCGTGCACAGGGGGCAGCCACTGCTAAATTACCGGTAGAGATCTGCGGTGGGTGTTCATGGGGTGGTTGCTGTTGACTGACAGAATTTGGAGCGCCAGAGAAGGGAAGAAGTAGGAGGGGACAGTAGTTCGCTAAACCTTTACTGTGTGTTATGGGGTCATGTGCCTTATTCTGCTTGTCTTACCCACCTGACCCAGGCCAGCAGCTGGGGACGGGCACTGACCATTCACAAAGGATGGTGTGGCACCTGGGCAGGCTGGGCGGTGGCTGGGACCAAATGAGAGTGAAAGGCGGGTGAGGCGGAGGGCGCTCGGCTGGCTCTGGAAGCCATTTCTATTACAGTGGGACCCCTGTTTGGGATTAGCCCGCAAGGTTACTAGTGAGATACACACACATGAAGAGACGTGTGCAGCAGGAAGCTAGATACGCAGGCGCTCTGGTGGGTGTAGAACACAAAGGATTGGGATTCAGAGACACTCCAGATCTTCTTCCTTCACTTCCTTTTGGATATGGGGCAAGTCTTTTGGCCTCTCTAAGCCCTACTTTACTTCTAAGTGAATGTGGGATTGACAATCCCTGCCCTATGCCGTCGTCAAAGGAGTTCATATAGAATGTCTGAAAATTTCTGAGAGCGGCAAAATCCATGGCTACGGATGATTTGGACGTTGGGGAATCGTAAGTGAAGTCACACAGAAACTTCTTGGGGGCTCGAGGTGGAGACCATGTTCTCCCCAACCTCAGTCCCCCCCGCCCCCGCTTTCTTTACATCTGTAAGCAAAGCATTAAAAAATAAGAGTTTTATCATAGTCAAACGTCCTTGAAAGGAATCTTTTATCCCTGTTTTTCCCTCCAGGGAGGAACGATACTTTTACAGAGAAACCTGTTGTGCCTCCAGAACCCGTTGAACCTGTACTGAATGGGAGCATGGCCATAGGGGCTGTGTCACTCGCTGTGGCCAAAACCAGGGCCATCCTAGACAATAACCCCCTCTACTTAAATATTGCATTACTGAAGCACCGTCAGGTCAGTATCCGTTGTCTTCCATCACGAGGACCCGTGAGTATCTCAACACCAGTGAACCACATTTCTTGTTTCTCCTTGGTTTCCCCTCTTCCAGGAACAGCCCACAAAGCTCACCTTACCTTTGCCAATGGTGTCTCTGGTCAGCTGCGGGAAGTCATCACCTGGGAAGCTGAATTTAATGAAAGAAGTGATATGTATACCCCATCCTGGATTAACAGCTAAACAAGTACCTTTGATGATCTCACACTACTTTTTCCTTTCTTTTTTTGTTAGGATTTTATTTATTTAGAGAGAGGGCATGAGCAGGAGGAGGGGGAGAGGGAAAGAGAGAATCTCAAGCAGACTCCTGGCTCAGCACAGAGCCCAATGTGGCGCTCGACCCCAGAACCCTGAGAGCATGACCCAAGCCGAAATCAAGAGTCAGAGGCCCAACTGACTGAGCCACGCAGGCTCCCCTCACACTGTTTTAAAAAAAGGGCTCTGTCATCGACAAGTCTTTCGCGTAGGTCCCCAAGGCTTATGACACCAAGGGAGGGAGAATTAAATATAAAATGAAAAAAAAAAAATTTAGGCAATCAGAAGTGGAAAGAAAGCAAGACCTCAAATAAAAGGGGCCCATTTAAGCCACCTTCAGTCTCTGGTTCCCTTCAGCACTGATTTATGCCCGTGACTCACCAAGGAGCCCTGTGAGTAACTTGGCAGCCTTGATGGGCTGGGAGGTTGTTACCTGGGGGAGTCAGAGCATCTTTTTTTACTGACCGAGTCACTGCAGCAGCAGCAGGAGGAAGCTGGCTCTTTGCCAGCAGTCAGTTCTGTCCAGGAAGAGCTCCAGGGCCGGCCGGACCGCCTGGCATGCAAGAGAGGTTCAGTGCGTGCTTCTAGAATGAAGGACTCCTGGGGCGCCTGGGTGGCTCAGTGGGTTAGGCCGCTGCCTTCGGCTCAGGTCATGATCTCAGAGTCCTGGGATCGAGCCCCGCATCAGGCTCTCTGCTCTCTAGGGGAGCCTGCTTCCTCCTCTCTCTCTCTGCCTGCCTCTCTGCCTGCTTGTGATCTCTCTGTCAAATAAATAAATAAAATCTTTAAAAAAAAAAAAAAATAGAATGAAGGACTCCTAAGCTGCATCTTTATACTTAGTGGTGTGCTAGTTTCTATATTGTTCTTTACTGGTCTGAATGAGCCCTTGTGCCTCTTTAAATCTGCATGAAATATTCTACCCATTAGGGCATTAGAAAGAACTTACATTTAGGTATTATAGTGGATGTTTTCGGGAAAAAGTACAGGAAGTTCCATGACCTTGGGTAATACATTGAGTGACATTTTTTCCTTAAGCTAGTGAGAATCGTTATTTTTTTCAATCTCAAGATAATTTCTTCATGATAAAACATTCTTTTTTAAAGAGAATAACCGTTACCTCATGATGTATCGATTGTGGAACAGTAGGAATTCATAGCTGGCTCACCATCTGTCTGATCACGTTCAGATCCTAGCCCCAGGGTCTTTCCTGCAGTTCAAATCTGTTGGGCTATTGGAGGACCAGCGTAGTTGGTATGCCATCCTTTATTTGTCTTCGTATGCAGATCCCACAATCATCAGGATATACTTTCCTATTTTTTAAGTGACAGTGGCTTTATACCAATTCACACACTGTCATGGAGAATCCCTTGGTGAGCTATGACGTGTATTTGCAAAAAGAGCTGGTCAGGAGACTATGAAAGAGAATGAGTCTGACTTGATCCAGCCAATGGCACCCGTCAGTTCTGAACAGCGAAGAAAGCAGACTGAGAAGAGCTCTCGTTCATATCCAACCAAATAAAAATTGAGGGCTGAAGGTTAACATTTAGTCTTCTGATTTTGTAGACCACATCTAATCCACTAACCAGGATACCTTATCGGGGACCCTACAAATATTCCGTTAGAAATAGCCAGTGTGTGCTGTAAGTTTTTGTATTTGAAGTTTCTAGACTACAGTTGTGGAAGATCCCGGTTATTATACCTACAGGGTGTGGAGATGCTTCTGGAAATTCAGAAACATATCAACAAAACAACTGAAATGGTAGGTAAAGAGAATCTGTGGCATCTAATTGCTGATACTGGCACCTCCCAGTACACACATTTTACTTAATATGAAATTAACTCAATATTGTTGTTATGGATATGTAAATGTATTCATTTGGTTTTTCATGGGAGCCAAGCGTATACATTCCCTCATTGGCCCTGGATCCGGTTTCTAAAGGCACTTGACAATCTCGTCAGCTGGCTCTGTGCTAAAATCATCCCTTAGGAATTGCAAGGAAAGGATTTGGCCCCTAGGATGTGCGAGGCAGTTTAGTATAATAGTTAAGGCACAGACTCGGAGGTCCGCTCCGAGGTCCCAGTGTTGAGCAAACGCGAGCTTTTGGCCAGACAGCCCTCAAAGGGGAGGCCACGGAGGCAGGACGATGACAGGGAGCCATAGGTACGAGTCCCTGGTTGTGCCCGTGTTTGTCTTGTTCTCCACTATATGTCTTCTGCCTCGCACATCAGTTTGCTTCCCGAGTGTGGTGTTTTTACCGGGGATAGAAAGTTCAGCTGACTCCGTGGTGCAAAGAAGCAGGAAAACTGTATTTGCATGTACTCTGGTGTGAGCCCTGATTGATTCTTGACAAGCATGTCCTAGTTTACAGAACCAGGAAATGCTCGGTATTAAAATGCACCCTTTAAGGGCTGAATCCTTGCTCCAGAGCTCGGTCAACACCCCACATTGTGGGTATTGAAAATGACCAAATGTCCTTGGAAAGTATCTTTGCTTTTCATCTCAAATGATATTACGCAAACCAGATTCATCAGATTTAATGACCTTTGGCTGTTTCCAAAAGTCAAATCCACCCTGCAGAGGAAGTGTTTGTACCTTAACAATATTTAGAACAATATTCAAAACAATCTAAAGGCAAATCCCACAGTGGCGTTGCTCCCTAAGGGCAAGGAGGGGATGTCGTAGGAGTGAATAATACTTCATTTATATGAATAGAAATGCATTTATAGGAATGGAGGCAGAAAAGAAGGATGAGAAAGGGACCACATACCTGAGTTTGAGGAACAGTCTGGAGTTTTTCATCAGGAGGGGCTGGTATGGTGTGTGTGTGTGTGTGTGTGTGTGTGTGTGTGTGTGTGTGTGTGTTGCGAGATTCACAGTGTGCCTGGTCAGGCCCCAGGTCCTGAAGCTCTGCTCGCTGCCACAGAGTCTGAAAATGGCAAGTGATTTCTCTCTCTATTCTATCTCATAGCCGCCGCCTCCAAAAACAGAGACCAAAAAAGGGCATAACGGAAGCAAAAGAGGTCAAGTAAGTTTATGTATTTCTTAACCAGACTTCAGTATGACACAGTTCATCTCTATAGCCCCTGCCCATGTTCCAGCCCTGGTCAACGGTGCTGCGGGCCCAGGGCTTACACACACACAGAAACGACACAGCGGTACTCTACCCCCAGGAGTGCTGAGCCCCACAGCCCCCGAGCTGGAATGTCACTGGGCCCCACCTCTCTGGCCACAGGCCGCCAGGCCAGTGGCTGGCTCTCTAACGGACGCCCTAGGGGGTGTGCTGAAGCATTTATGAATCCAATATAATAGAGTTGAAACTCGATAGGTGACGTGTTGGGGAGGGTGAATCTAGCTAACCAGCTGAACGGCAGATAGAATGTTTTCTATTGTAATCTTATCCCTACCAAGTAAGAGAGAAACAAACAAAAGGCACAAAATGATAGCCCTTTCTTTCTTCGGGTTCTGAAAAGGCACCTAAAGCCCCATTTCAGACAAACCATTACCAGACCTCCGATTTTGTGGGTAGCCTGACAAACAGTTCTTGTCCACACTGGCCGGGGTGGCCTCAAGAGCCTCCAGAAGCCATCGCCACCTGATCCGGCCACGGCTTTGGTGGCTGTGGGCGCTCCAGAAGACATACTCTCAGATGCCTGGACTTTAACAAGAGAGTCGGAATAACCAGTCAGAATCCTGGAGACGATGCAGGCGGTGATGGGACTAGTAAAGGCGAAAAGTTAAATTCCTCCTCCACACTGGGAGAGAGAAGAGAAGTGTGTGAGGAAATACACGAGGAAGTGAAGTACCTGGTCGGTAGATCTGTAGGGATGAGCACAACACTCTCACGCTAGACCCCGGGAGAGAGCCCGGGGCGTGGGGACCAAGTGACCCAGCGTCAGCGTGCTCCGCCTCGTTCCAGCAGGTTGTCCTGGGTGTTCTGAGAAACTCGGGCCAGCATCAGCCCTTCCCATGGTCAGCTTTCCTACTTCTTTTTTTCCTGTTAGAAACAGGTTAAATGGTAGATTCTAGAGAGTCAGCCGTACCAGTTAAGAGGCCTGAACTCTGGAGCTAAACTTCCTGGATTAAAATCTGTCCCAAGTTACTTACCTTTCTGTGAAATGGGACAGTAATTGTATGTGCTTCAGGGGGTTGATGTAAGGAGTAAATGTGTTTATGTAAAGCGTTTGGAACAGTAGCGGGCATTTAATAAGCTCTCAAGAAGTGATGCTTACAGTTGAGAAGAGTCGAACAAAACTCGACTGACACACAGCAATTTCCCCACCTGTTCCGTTGCTGAATAAAGGGTTCCTGTCCCTGCCGTTAAGAATGTCAGATGGCGCTTATAATTAACTCATGCGATCAGTAGAGAAATGGGTATTTCTGCCTCGGTTCATGTTTGCCCTTGAGTATGGCATGCACGCGCGCGCGCGCGGCGCACACACACACACACACACACACACACACACACACACACACACACACACACACACACACACCCTTCCGAATCACCCTTATTCTGCTTCAAATGTGGGATAATTCAAAGTGGCAACTTAGAAGGAGGGCACGGCAGGGCTGACCTTGCATCAGAAACACATGGCTGCCTTTCCCGGGGCTGCTTTCGGTTCCAAACCGCCTTCCACTGAAATCCATCCTCAGTCCTGCCTTATTTTAGCAGAAATCTTCTATCCTTTCTCACGTAAGACCTTTCCTGAAGGAGGGTTCCATGTTCACACTTACATTCTTCAAAAGGAACATGGAACACAGGAAAGAGCGGGTTTGGAAGTGGGTGGAGGAGGACAGAGGTAAGGACCGGACAGATACTCAGAAGCACAGCCTGGAGATTCGCCCACCTTGGGGTCGCGGCTCAGGTCAGCCCATGTACCACGGCAGGGTTGATCAGGACATTATACAGACACACCTAGGACAGAAAAGTGTGTTCCCAGGTCAAGCCTGAAACTATGAGAGTAGGAAAATTACTCCAGACGCTTTGGGCAATCATATGCCTAAAGGTCGTGCAGAGATGAGAGATGCCCAGACATAAGGCTGATGCAGACTCAGCAGACCACATGTTTAAAGAGCTGTGTCTGGTTGTCAGTGGTGCCTAGTTTATAACTGGGAAGCTCCAAGAACCTTACTGCTCTGTGTTGATAAGCATCATTTGCCTTCGGTCTTTTAGCAGCCCATCATGGGCAAGATGTCGCATCTTGGCTGTTTGATCATTAATTACGACACCATAGAGCAACCGCTGGTCCTAATTCAAGGCATCTGTGCGAACCTGGGGCTGGACCTGGGGACAAACCTGCACCTAGCCATCAACTGTGCTGCCCATGAGCTGATGGATTATGTAAGTTTCTGCTCCGGAACACGTAACTTGTTGGGTCCCCTTATTTTTAAATTAGGACTCAAAAGCAGCACATACCTGAATATTTTCCAAACAGATCCTATTGCTTTTATTAATACTGTGTGCAGCTTCCCAATATAAATGGAGTCGAGAAAGCTGACTTAGCTAATGACCAGAGAATAACATAACCATATAATTTTAGAAATTAACAGGAAATGTCAAAATAGCTACATATGGAAATTCTGTAACAACAATTGCTAAAATGGGGTGCTCACATTGCGACCGTGAGAGCTATTGAAAAATTACAAACTGGTATGTTCTGCTGAGTTCACTCCCTTGGTTGGTAGATACTGAATTTGTCAGGCGTAGAAAACGGATCCGTTGTAGCTATCAACTTGGTAAGCCTGTCTGGCCAGGTAAGTGGTTCTGAGTTTCTGCTGTGACTCCCTTTTTAAATATAAAAATATGTCCAAGTTGTTGATATTTGTGGAGACTGTATTTTTATCTGATTAAGCCCATCCACAGTGTTATCCACAGCCTGGGTTAGGGGGAGAGAGCTTTAGCGATGAAACTTCTCCCGGAGACTACACCCCGTGGGGACAATTATTTTAAAAAGAGAGGAAAACAGGTTCATTTTTAAAAAGCTTTCATTTTACTTCCTCAGTGTAACAGAGCAGCAGTTAACCTTTGGACTTGGGAAGCTGGCATGTTAGGGAAACTCGTAAAAGGTGTTTGTCTGCTACATACAAGTTCCCTTCTTCAAAAACACAAATGCAGAGTCTGTGATGTATGCAGTGCCCAGCGTGTTGACGTACATTTGTGGTGACTTGGTAATTAATGTCCCATTCAGGGGATATGGCTGGAGAGAATTCCGCTTTAATCTGTGATTCTTTTAACTTCAAAGGAAAACTTGAACAGCATACAAGAACTCCCAAGTTTCAGCTGACTTCTAAGTCCTTTTAAGTTTTCTAAAGATACGAAGCGCAGGAAGCCTTGTTTAATGTAATTTCCTATTCTCCACATAATGATTGGTTCCTAGACGTACTATTACAAAAAATAATTGCATGTTTTCATCAGCAATGTATACCGAGAACTATGAATATACTGACTGCTAGTGCTAGCTAGAATGGGTATTTTTTGCTTATATTCAGTGAAATGAATTAGTTTGATCTCAGATAGTTCTTACAATGTTAATTCAACATCATTAGCATTTCTTTACTGACAAGATAGGATTTTCAAGGTTTTGCAGTAAAGAAACTAAAAGTTCCGGCTGCCTTTTTAATCTGAGAAAAGTACAAAATCCTTTCAAGGATGGATTTCTTTGGAACCTGCCTAGTTCCAATGGAATCCATCCCACTGGCAGTCATAGCAGGAAGGTGTCAGCAAACCAGTCATTCTGTTGCCTCCTGCCTCCTTCCTGGGACCCGAATAACCCAGGGGCCATCCCTGAACACAGACTTGGGAATCAGTGCCAGGATTTGCAGAGACATGACACCAGATCCGTTAGCCCCATTTACTTCTATTCTTGATGACCTGGGGCTTCCCAGACTTTGGGTGAATGGAGTTGAACTAGAACTCTTTTAGAGCCATATGGTTACTGGTAGGGCGTGCATGCTACCTGAGAAGGAGATGCCGTCACATGGCTCATGGGACATTTCACAGTGGCTGTTCCTATCTCCAAAGCCTTGCCCTGCTTTCAAATTTTAGGATATTCACGGTACAGGAGACCAGCTGTTTGTTTACTGTGAGTGGAAAGATGCTGGGTTCTGGTGAGTGGGAAGCTATGCACTGCTGTCCTGTTTTATAAATTCATGTCATCGCCCATGGACCCAAGCAGCCAGGTAACTGGCACCACATCCCGAACCTAAGTAAGAAATTATTCCCCTCCTACCGCGTACCTGGTCTTTTGTGTAGAAGGCTTCGTCTGAAGTCCGTGGAAGGAGCACCATGGAGCATGAAGAGGAATGGTGATGAGATTTCCCCAGGCTAGTATGTAACAGATATTTAAACTAAAGTACACAGATGTCTCATGGGACTATGGCCCAAAAAGGACGTTTACAATCTTTTATAGGCAATGAATAAACGCAAATGGGAATCCCGCCTTTCCCCTTTGAGAAATTCCTCATTCATCTTTATTTTGTGATTGTCCTTCCACCCGCCAGAGTAGAGGAAAGTATGAAGTGATGCTGGGAACATACAAAAACGCAGCGGAGATGGTGGACCTATATGTGGATCTGATCAACAGGTTCCCTGCAATTATCGCCTTAATCGATCCTTTCAGGAAGGAGGTAACAGGGATCCACCTTGAACTGTATAACAACAGAGAGCAAAATCTCATTCTTTTGGCTCGGTGGCTGGAAATAGTGCAGTTTGGGGTGGGGCGGAGGGGCTCTGCCTCCGCCTAGGTGAGAGGAGTCGCGCACTGAGCAAACACAGACCCAAAGCGAAGGGCCTGGGAGGGCGCCTGTGTGCAGAACAAGAGAGCTTTCCCGGGCACTTGGGGGTACCCATGTTTGCATGAGCAACCCAGGGCTGGCCGCCGAGCCACCAGCTCCTGCTGCAGCGGGCCGGTACCCTGGCCGTGCTAAGTGCTCCCGGAACTGAGCCCTCTGCTCAGCCCATGTGGCATCCTCCTTCCACTTCCCACACACGCAGGAAAGTTGCAAAGGTGTATTTTAAAAAGGTTTCAGAGAGCGAGGTTTTCCTAGCTATCCGAGCTCTGACATCCGGCGAGGGATGTTCCTCTGCCAGAGGGGGCCATCACTCTCCCTAACACTCTGGATCTCCAAAACCTAAATTCTTGATGGTATGAATTGGAGAGAACCATTAGATCAACTGAACAGACAGTCTCTGGGAGATCAGGCATGGATTTAAATGTGGGGCATGAGAAGAGAGCTGCATCACGCTCAGGGTCCCCGCACTTCCCTTGGCCATCACTCCTGTCACTGCCTGTGCCACAGCCCAGGGCTCGCCGAGCCGCCACCCAGCTCCTTAACCTGCTGGCGGCATCTTCAGACCTTGTTCTGGGGCTCTGGCCTTGTCTGGTTTTACTGTGCTAAGATGGCCCATGTTTGGTCTGTTCTAATGGGATAGGTCAGAATCTGGTACAGTGGTCTGGGAGACTTGGTAGATCATCAGTTAAAACAGTATTTCATTTCATGTGATGGTCTTACCAATAAAAACAAAGGTGTTGAGAAGGGAGAGCCTAGAGCCTTCACAGGCTCATTTCCTTCTGTTTTCTGTTCACCAGAAATAACAGTGGCATCTTCTGGCCAGCCAGTTGTTAGTAGCGTTACGGATAATACAGTGGGTAGGAATAGCTTGGGTTGGAAGAACTTCAGAATCAACGTGGAGCATTTAATGTGTGTTAAACATTTTATCCAAAAGATCTTCAAGCTCAAATTTAATCACTTGAAGATTCTGTTCCACGAAACTGGTTAATTTGTGTGGCCATGGTTCAGGTACCAGTCAGCCGCAGAAACAACAGAAAACCATTTTTTGGGTCTCAGAAAGGTGTTTAACTCTGATGAGGCGCTCTAGGGTTCCTGTTGTTTTGTGATGATGCTTAATACATTTTAACGATCGATTCTTAAATATTTACCCAGGACTCTGAACAGTGGGACAGCATCTGTAATGCTCTTGGTTCCAGGTGTTACATCATTGCAGGAGCTGCATCCAAAAGCATTTCTAAACTTCTAGAGGGTGGGGACATCAGCACCCCCAAATCCAGTGGGCTGATCATCAAACATACCAACCAAACTACGATCTCTGACTTGGTGGAAATAACCAGTCTTCTTGACAGTGAGTAGAAGTATAGGTCTACAAGACTCATAAGGAACTTGGCTTGGTTACACAAGGAGCCAAAAAGGTACAGTTTGTCAGTTAATAGAAAGCATGGTGTAAATCTTGGCAGAAAAACAAATTTCCAACTGTCCATGAGAGCTCTGGTGCTGGGAGACAATTTGCAGCTAGTGTACTAATCCACTTTCTGGTGGTCCCACAACAGTCCCAGTCCAGGAGTCCCACCCTCGCCCCCCATTTTAGGCGTGACTGAGGACAGTACCCTCTCAGCTTCACACTACAGGACAGTGATCCCACTCGCCCACGCTGATGTTTTTAAAATTCCTCACAAGTTTCAAACTCTTTACCACCGTGAGGTCTGTGAACATGCTTGCCCTGTACCATTGGCTCACTACTCCTGATCCTTCATGTCTTTCCTTAAGGGAAACGTTTTCAGATATGTATGACTTTCCTGGCTTCCCCCAGCGCTACCTGGATGCTCTCAACCTCCCTCGTAGCTTCTGATACTTTCTCTTTGTAGTATTGGCCACAATTACATGTACGGTTATTTAATGTCCAGTATCTGCCCATGAGACTATGAAGTCCCATGAGCTCACAGGAGTCTTGTTCAGTGCCTGAAACATGGGTGAGTCTCCGGAGTTAGGCAGGAGGCTTGTCTAAGACCTGAAGCAGGGCTCAGAGCCAGACTGGCAGCCAGGGGCCTGGGCTCGTGCCAGAAAATGGCATGGAATGCCTGTAGTCCCTTGTCCTGGCGATGGCCCAGACTAGGGCCCAGGCAGGGCTGTCTTGTAGGTAGTAGACAGGAGGTCGCAGCCCTGGCCTTTCCTCCAGGGCCGGCCCACTCAGCAGGCACGCTGTCATCCACTTCGGATCACTGCCATGGCTCAGCCTCCAAAACAGCAAACACTGTCTCCAGAGTAGGAGCCTTGGCCCGTGTTCTTTGTAGACTTGGCAAACTTCAAGGGGTTCTGAGATGCTCAAATTTGGATTAAGTACCTTCCACACTGTTCTTCAAATAAGTTTACATTCAGAAAGACAGATCCCTTTGAATAAAATTCTACACAATGAATTGTGAAATCCAATGAGGCCTGTCAGCTCCCAAAATGATACCCTTGCACTTACTCTCTATTTTGTCTCAAAGATGCACACTTTTCTACACCGAACATGGACAAAATGGAAATGTGTCTTACAGTTGTGGTCCCCTTTAGTGGTCCTAAAGATCGATCTTACAATTTATGATATCTTTAATTAAAGTTGGCATTCGTGTAGTATTTAGCATCTGAGTTACTGGAAAGAGATAAACAGATAAAACCAGGGTAATTAAAAATACAAATGTTTAGGTCAGAATTCTCTGGTGATCAAATCATTGACTCTTCACAGGAAAGTTGTAAATCTTGGCAATTTTTTCAATTTTGTTTCCAGAGGCTCATACATGTGTGTGCGCGCACACACGTGTATTTATACATACATGTACACGCACGTGTGCATACATATGTGTGTGTACATGTATGTGTGTGTGTGTGTATATGCCGTTATGCTCACCGTTCCTGTGCCATCTAAACCTGAAAAGAATCCCTCTGCTCACAGGTAAGCAGCGCGTCACGGTCTTCGGAAGCGCGGAAGGGGAGTCGCCTGATGACAGCTTGGTCGATCTGGCAAGTACTGAAAGCTGGTCAATTGCAGAATTGCCAAAACACTGCTTTTATCATGAATTGGTATTTCAGAGAAATGCAGTCTTTGGCGGAGAAAGTCACGTAACCTTTTATGAAAGACTTGCTTCCTCCCAGAGAGCTAGCTTTTGCAAAGAGCTAATCTTTGAACTTTTAAAAGAAGAAAAATTGAAGTCCTGGGAAAATGATGAGACACTTGAGTGGCTGGGATGTGCACTTGCAGTCTAACTGCCTGAAAGGAAGCGAGAAAGGCCAGACTGTTCTTAGACGAAATCAGCACGCTCCCATGCCTAGTAAAGCATCTAATGCGTAGTCACGCTGTTTACCTTTCCTGTCTGTTTGTACGCAGACCTCCTTATCTACATAAGGATCAAATACAAAGTTAGAAGCGAAAAACCAAAACCAGCACAGTGTCAGTGCCCTTTCTCCCTGCTCATTTTTAGCAAAACGTGACTTCTCGCTTAAAATCAATTTTGTGCACCTCCCACTCCCCCCTTAAGGCCATCGGACTCGGTGTCCGGTTTATCAAGTTGGGAGGTCTTTCTCGCGGCGAGCGGGTGACTAAGTACAACCGCCTCTTCACTATAGAGGAAGAACTGCTCCAGAGTGGAACACTGGGTACGTGCTGCTTTCTTGCTTTGTTTTCACTTAGCCATGAATAAGAGAACAAAGATCGGAGAAGGGGAATTGGAGGCCCTCGGCGGGAGGGCGGGAGGGGAGGGGAATCCAAAGACAGTTACTAAGTGCTGACAAAACTAGGGTAGCATTTGCCACGATGTGCATTGTTTTCTTAATGGATTATCTATTTACCTGGATGTTTCAAACTCTCGCCCTTCCTCTTGATGAATAAGCTGTGTGGTGCTTTTCAATAGAATTAATTGATTGGAATCTCCAAGCCCACCTTTTATTATGGTCCACATTATAGCTAAGGTCTCTGCACAGCCCCTGAAAAGTTAAAGGCAGGTGTTTTCTTGATGATTCTTGAAAACAACTGGTTTTACTTAAGACAAGTAGACCACATGTTAAGTTTAATGTCATCCGTGGGGAAGGCTGTGGTCTTGAGAGAAACGAACCAATCATTTAGGAAGTCAAACCTCTGCAAATTTGCATGCATAGAAGGCACCTTGTATACTGGGCTAATTGGAGAGAAACACCCCAAAGATGAATTTTTACCCTTCATGTTCCTGTGATGGCCAAAAGCAGGTGCGTGGCACACACAGATATTTAGAGACCAAGTTATTGTCTTTGCAATTCTAAAAATATTTTGCATTTTAGGATAGAACAAATGAATCACTGTGCTGGGGGAAAAGTATGTGTTTATTTAAGTAGTATTGACAAAATACGAAATTTTCTTGGATGCTATCCGTAAGATCTCATATATGATAAATGTATCAGGGTCTGGCCTCTAGAGCAAATCAGTTCTTGCATATGACAGCAAGGAATTAGTCCTATGCCTCAGGATATGCATTGAAAAAGTAAAGAAGCCAAGAGAGATTGTAATTAGGAATATGTCATGTTTAACATATGTTACAACCTCAAAACGCTTCCTAAGCTTCATAGAAAATAAAAATATGATTGAGAGACTCTTTCTGAGTTAGGTAAGGGCAATCAAAGTTAGTGTTATTCAGTGTGCTACACAGGCCTTGTTTTTTCCAATAGGTAAAATCATATTGTCCTACATATTACCAGGTTGTTTGTTTTTTTTAAAGATTTTATTTATTTTTTTAATTTTTTTTAATAAATTTTTTAAAAGATTTTTTATTTATTTTACAGAGATCACAAGTAGGCAGAGAGGCAGGCAGAGAGAGGGGGAAGCAGGCTCCCCGCCGAGCAGAGAGCCCGATGCGTGGCTCAATCCCAGCACCCTGAGATCATGACCTGAGCCGAAGGCAGAGGCTTAACCACTGAGCCACCCAGGTGTCCCAAAGATTTTATTTATTTGACAGAGAGAGAGATCACAAGTAGGCAGAGAGGCAGGCAGAGAGAGGGGGGAAGCAGGCTCTCCACTGAGCAGAGAGCCCGATGCAGGACTCGATCCCAGGACCCTGAGATCATGACCTGAGTCGAAGGCAGAGCTTAACCCTCTGAGCCACCCAGGCGCCCCACCAGGTTGTTTTTTTTTTTTATGTCATCCTGACTTGTGAAAGCCTTAAGTTCCTAAACGACCCATCACATTTCTAGCCAGACTTCCCCACAAGAGAAAACAGCTGCTTCCAAGTATCAGAAAGGATAGTGACCTGAGGCCCAGCCCCTCTCCCGGGGCCAGGGCCAAGCCCTGGGCATTCTGGCCTAGATTATCAGATCACAGGCATGCCTCATTTTATTGTACTCCGCTTTACTACACTTCTCAGATACTGCATTTGTACAGAATGAAGGTTTATGGCAAGCCTGTGTCAAGCAACTCCCTGGGCACCATTCTTCCAACAGCATTTGCTCACTCCACGTCTCTGTGGGGTCAGCAAACTATCTTTGATATGATCTGTGATCAGTGATGAATTCGCTGAGAGCTCAGATGATGATGAGCATTTTTTTAGCAATAAAATATTTTTAATTAAGGTAGGTCCATTGGGTGTTTTTTGTTTTTAGGCATAATGCTACTTCTTGCACACCTCAGAGACTACAGCACAGTGTGAACAGAAATTTTATATGCATTGGGAAACCAAAAAATTCACGTGACTCGCTTTATTGCGGGGTCCAGAACCGTATCGCTGGGATCTCTGATGAGTGCCTGCGATGAAAATTTCCCTGTCATTGGCCTATGGTCAGTACACCCCATTGACAGTGGTCGATAAATCGGAAGGAGACCAAGAACTGGAGAGACAGATCTCCCCTCTGAGAGAAGGAGTAGGACATCCTGTAAAAGCTCTGCTGTTAACTGAGCACGTCACGTCACTGTCCACATGGACCCGACTGGAACGAAGTCTGCAGTCGTCTGCTTGGGAACGCTTAGTTGGCGATGGTCTGTACTCACATAGTGGACCGGCCTCTCTTCTAGTTCCTCTGCTCCCTCTGCTCCTCTTCTGCTAAGCCTCTGCCCAAAGTCCACTGCATACTGAATGTTCCAGAAGGGCACCATGCAGACTGAGCAAGACAAGTGTATTGCACAGTTAACATCTGAGCAAAGTCAGGCCCAGTTCTGAATGGTCCTGGGACCTTTTCTAATGGTGAGGGGACACCTCTGGGCAGTTCTGGAGATGGTCTCCTTTACGTCACAGAACCAAGAACATCAAACTTGGCACCACTGGATTCAACACTAAACTTTATTGTTGTTGTTAAATAGGTTTCAATGAAGAACACATATTTTTTCCCTTGAATGATGAAGCTGAAAAGGGGACCAAGGCACCTGAGGCTGTGGCTACCGTGGCTGGCGAGCCAGCCGAGCTCCCGGAGCCCATCTTCCCCACAGAAGTGATGGAGGCGTCGGCCAAAGCATGAGTGTCTCCTGGATGGGGCTGTGGACACCCCGCCTTTCGGCCACACTGCTAGCATGAGGCCCGCAGAGCCCACCTGTGTCTTCACGTGGGCTTTGCTCTAAAACATCCCTAACCAGCGTGCTCTTTTTATTCTTGTGATTTCACTGTTTGGTAACATTGGTACGTAGTATTTCTGCCCGAAATTACGCCTGTAAGCGGTGTCTTCCAGACCTTGAATTTCCATGGGGATTTTGTGTACTAGCTCTCCTGTCCACTTGGGGGGCCAAGACCTAGTAAAAGAGTCCAGTGCCTCTGCTGCTGAGCGCACACGTGGGGCAGTGACGTAGCCGTGCCCAGAGGCACAGGCGCATTTTCGCCGCCTTCCTCATGCAGGAAGAAATGTGAGAACTTCAGTCTTTCTAACAGCCAAACAGCTGCTTCTTACTTCCTTGCCCTTCATCCCCTTTTCCCTGATTCCCTCCTCTTTCTAAATTTTCATCTTTATTATATTACTTATATGCTTGTGGGTGTCCTAAGATCCTTTTTGGAAAAAGCAGCAGTCTAAATGAATAAACCCATCAGTAAATGAATACATATTCTGAAGGTAATAATGCTCAGTTACTTCCGCAACAGCATCTCACAGGAGACAAACGACGTATCACACAGGCTGACTAAGTGCCTCCCTAGTAAGGCAGTATCGGGGTTATGGCAGAAAAGTACTGGAAATAAATTTATTCAAACACATACCTTATAGATATAATAATATCCTACCGCCTTATATAATTTAGATTGTCTGTTTAAACTTACCATTTGCTTTCCTCCAAAATGATAAAAATTGTGATATACTGACCTGTGGGAGAGTTGACTAAGTTGAGATTTCTGAGAACTTTCCCTCTTAAAGAGTCCCCATAGGGAAATTTAATGGCCTTATGGTAACACCAGGGCCTTATGCTCCGCACACACACACACACACACACACACACACACACACACACACACACACACACACACACACACCCTTCCGAATCACCCTTATTCTGCTTCAAATGTGGGATAATTCAAAGTGGCAACTTAGAAGGAGGGCACGGCAGGGCTGACCTTGCATCAGAAACACATGGCTGCCTTTCCCGGGGCTGCTTTCGGTTCCAAACCGCCTTCCACTGAAATCCATCCTCAGTCCTGCCTTATTTTAGCAGAAATCTTCTATCCTTTCTCACGTAAGACCTTTCCTGAAGGAGGGTTCCATGTTCACACTTACATTCTTCAAAAGGAACATGGAACACAGGAAAGAGCGGGTTTGGAAGTGGGTGGAGGAGGACAGAGGTAAGGACCGGACAGATACTCAGAAGCACAGCCTGGAGATTCGCCCACCTTGGGGTCGCGGCTCAGGTCAGCCCATGTACCACGGCAGGGTTGATCAGGACATTATACAGACACACCTAGGACAGAAAAGTGTGTTCCCAGGTCAAGCCTGAAACTATGAGAGTAGGAAAATTACTCCAGACGCTTTGGGCAATCATATGCCTAAAGGTCGTGCAGAGATGAGAGATGCCCAGACATAAGGCTGATGCAGACTCAGCAGACCACATGTTTAAAGAGCTGTGTCTGGTTGTCAGTGGTGCCTAGTTTATAACTGGGAAGCTCCAAGAACCTTACTGCTCTGTGTTGATAAGCATCATTTGCCTTCGGTCTTTTAGCAGCCCATCATGGGCAAGATGTCGCATCTTGGCTGTTTGATCATTAATTACGACACCATAGAGCAACCGCTGGTCCTAATTCAAGGCATCTGTGCGAACCTGGGGCTGGACCTGGGGACAAACCTGCACCTAGCCATCAACTGTGCTGCCCATGAGCTGATGGATTATGTAAGTTTCTGCTCCGGAACACGTAACTTGTTGGGTCCCCTTATTTTTAAATTAGGACTCAAAAGCAGCACATACCTGAATATTTTCCAAACAGATCCTATTGCTTTTATTAATACTGTGTGCAGCTTCCCAATATAAATGGAGTCGAGAAAGCTGACTTAGCTAATGACCAGAGAATAACATAACCATATAATTTTAGAAATTAACAGGAAATGTCAAAATAGCTACATATGGAAATTCTGTAACAACAATTGCTAAAATGGGGTGCTCACATTGCGACCGTGAGAGCTATTGAAAAATTACAAACTGGTATGTTCTGCTGAGTTCACTCCCTTGGTTGGTAGATACTGAATTTGTCAGGCGTAGAAAACGGATCCGTTGTAGCTATCAACTTGGTAAGCCTGTCTGGCCAGGTAAGTGGTTCTGAGTTTCTGCTGTGACTCCCTTTTTAAATATAAAAATATGTCCAAGTTGTTGATATTTGTGGAGACTGTATTTTTATCTGATTAAGCCCATCCACAGTGTTATCCACAGCCTGGGTTAGGGGGAGAGAGCTTTAGCGATGAAACTTCTCCCGGAGACTACACCCCGTGGGGACAATTATTTTAAAAAGAGAGGAAAACAGGTTCATTTTTAAAAAGCTTTCATTTTACTTCCTCAGTGTAACAGAGCAGCAGTTAACCTTTGGACTTGGGAAGCTGGCATGTTAGGGAAACTCGTAAAAGGTGTTTGTCTGCTACATACAAGTTCCCTTCTTCAAAAACACAAATGCAGAGTCTGTGATGTATGCAGTGCCCAGCGTGTTGACGTACATTTGTGGTGACTTGGTAATTAATGTCCCATTCAGGGGATATGGCTGGAGAGAATTCCGCTTTAATCTGTGATTCTTTTAACTTCAAAGGAAAACTTGAACAGCATACAAGAACTCCCAAGTTTCAGCTGACTTCTAAGTCCTTTTAAGTTTTCTAAAGATACGAAGCGCAGGAAGCCTTGTTTAATGTAATTTCCTATTCTCCACATAATGATTGGTTCCTAGACGTACTATTACAAAAAATAATTGCATGTTTTCATCAGCAATGTATACCGAGAACTATGAATATACTGACTGCTAGTGCTAGCTAGAATGGGTATTTTTTGCTTATATTCAGTGAAATGAATTAGTTTGATCTCAGATAGTTCTTACAATGTTAATTCAACATCATTAGCATTTCTTTACTGACAAGATAGGATTTTCAAGGTTTTGCAGTAAAGAAACTAAAAGTTCCGGCTGCCTTTTTAATCTGAGAAAAGTACAAAATCCTTTCAAGGATGGATTTCTTTGGAACCTGCCTAGTTCCAATGGAATCCATCCCACTGGCAGTCATAGCAGGAAGGTGTCAGCAAACCAGTCATTCTGTTGCCTCCTGCCTCCTTCCTGGGACCCGAATAACCCAGGGGCCATCCCTGAACACAGACTTGGGAATCAGTGCCAGGATTTGCAGAGACATGACACCAGATCCGTTAGCCCCATTTACTTCTATTCTTGATGACCTGGGGCTTCCCAGACTTTGGGTGAATGGAGTTGAACTAGAACTCTTTTAGAGCCATATGGTTACTGGTAGGGCGTGCATGCTACCTGAGAAGGAGATGCCGTCACATGGCTCATGGGACATTTCACAGTGGCTGTTCCTATCTCCAAAGCCTTGCCCTGCTTTCAAATTTTAGGATATTCACGGTACAGGAGACCAGCTGTTTGTTTACTGTGAGTGGAAAGATGCTGGGTTCTGGTGAGTGGGAAGCTATGCACTGCTGTCCTGTTTTATAAATTCATGTCATCGCCCATGGACCCAAGCAGCCAGGTAACTGGCACCACATCCCGAACCTAAGTAAGAAATTATTCCCCTCCTACCGCGTACCTGGTCTTTTGTGTAGAAGGCTTCGTCTGAAGTCCGTGGAAGGAGCACCATGGAGCATGAAGAGGAATGGTGATGAGATTTCCCCAGGCTAGTATGTAACAGATATTTAAACTAAAGTACACAGATGTCTCATGGGACTATGGCCCAAAAAGGACGTTTACAATCTTTTATAGGCAATGAATAAACGCAAATGGGAATCCCGCCTTTCCCCTTTGAGGAATTCCTCATTCATCTTTATTTTGTGATTGTCCTTCCACCCGCCAGAGTAGAGGAAAGTATGAAGTGATGCTGGGAACATACAAAAACGCAGCGGAGATGGTGGACCTATATGTGGATCTGATCAACAGGTTCCCTGCAATTATCGCCTTAATCGATCCTTTCAGGAAGGAGGTAACAGGGATCCACCTTGAACTGTATAACAACAGAGAGCAAAATCTCATTCTTTTGGCTCGGTGGCTGGAAATAGTGCAGTTTGGGGTGGGGCGGAGGGGCTCTGCCTCCGCCTAGGTGAGAGGAGTCGCGCACTGAGCAAACACAGACCCAAAGCGAAGGGCCTGGGAGGGCGCCTGTGTGCAGAACAAGAGAGCTTTCCCGGGCACTTGGGGGTACCCATGTTTGCATGAGCAACCCAGGGCTGGCCGCCGAGCCACCAGCTCCTGCTGCAGCGGGCCGGTACCCTGGCCGTGCTAAGTGCTCCCGGAACTGAGCCCTCTGCTCAGCCCATGTGGCATCCTCCTTCCACTTCCCACACACGCAGGAAAGTTGCAAAGGTGTATTTTAAAAAGGTTTCAGAGAGCGAGGTTTTCCTAGCTATCCGAGCTCTGACATCCGGCGAGGGATGTTCCTCTGCCAGAGGGGGCCATCACTCTCCCTAACACTCTGGATCTCCAAAACCTAAATTCTTGATGGTATGAATTGGAGAGAACCATTAGATCAACTGAACAGACAGTCTCTGGGAGATCAGGCATGGATTTAAATGTGGGGCATGAGAAGAGAGCTGCATCACGCTCAGGGTCCCCGCACTTCCCTTGGCCATCACTCCTGTCACTGCCTGTGCCACAGCCCAGGGCTCGCCGAGCCGCCACCCAGCTCCTTAACCTGCTGGCGGCATCTTCAGACCTTGTTCTGGGGCTCTGGCCTTGTCTGGTTTTACTGTGCTAAGATGGCCCATGTTTGGTCTGTTCTAATGGGATAGGTCAGAATCTGGTACAGTGGTCTGGGAGACTTGGTAGATCATCAGTTAAAACAGTATTTCATTTCATGTGATGGTCTTACCAATAAAAACAAAGGTGTTGAGAAGGGAGAGCC